GGGATGCTTTATAAAAGGTGAATATAACAGATTGGCTCAACTAGGTCAGTATGGGAAATAAATAGTTTTTCTATTAATTCACAAACAGGAAAAAAAACTGATTTTCCAGTTCCCAAATGATTTCTCAGTTTAAAATAAATCAATTCAAAGGTCAACAAAACTGTATGCTTGCGGGAAGCTAAATTATCAAGTCTGTCACTTCTAGGAAACTATAAAGTGTTAAAATTTCACCAATTCACCCAAATTTATTTTAATTATCATTAACATCAATATATAACCAACAATATCTACTCATGACAGCTAGTAAAATCCCAGCTTGCTTTTTTACAAAAATTGATAACCTGATCCTAAAATTCACACGGAAATGCAAAGGGCCCAGAATAGCCAAAACTGTCTTGAAAAAGATGAATAAAGAGGTCTTCCCTATTTTAAAACTCACCAGAAAGCTTCAGTAATCAAAAGGCAATTTGGTACTGGTTTTAGAATAGACATAGAGATAAACGGAAAAGAATTGAGTCCAGATAAATCCTTACATTTATGGTCAACTGATTTTTGACAAAAGTGCCAAGGTAATTCAACGGGAAAAGAACAGCCTTTCCACAATTGGCACTCCTGCCGGGCGCGGTGGCTCACGCCTGTAATCCCAGCACTTTGGGAGGCCGAGGCGGGCGGATCACCAAGTCAGGAGATCCAGACCATGCTGGCTAACACGGTGAAACCCCGTCTCAACTTAAAATACAAAAAATTAGCCGGGCATGGTGGTGCGTGCCTGTAGTTCCAGCTACTGGGGAGGCTGAGACAGGAGAATCGCATGAACCCGGGAGGCGGAGCTTGCAGTGAGCCGAGATGGCGCCACTGCACTCCAGCCTGGGCGACAGAGCGAGACTCCGTCTCAAAAAATAATAATAAAATAAATAATTAAATAAACAAAAATTTTAAAGAGATGATTTAAAGTATACGGAAGATACATGTAACTTACATGCAAATACTATACCATTTTATATAAGAGACTGGAGCTTCTGAAAATTGTGGTATCCACTAGGGTTTCTGGAACCAATCCCCCACATATCAAGGGGCGACTGTAATTACTTAACAAAAAAAAATCTTGAAAGTATGTATTTGTCACCAGCCCATGGGGAACACTATTCTTGAATTAAGTAGCACTGAACACCTTTAAATACCTGATAGAAGCCTTAAACTCAGCAGCAATTTCCTGAAAACATGCCAACATATATTAATTATTCTGGGCCTAAAAGTCTGACAAATTACTTTAAAATACAGATGAAGACAAAAGAAAATGGTTTTAAACTGCAACAAGAAAAATGTACAAGTTGACCTGAAGTTTGAAACACTTGACTACATTGGTATACTGTTAATCAAAACGTATCCGCAAAACAGACTTGCAAAAGAAATTATAAACAGGGTAGTGAATTTCAAAGTAATTTATAACAGACTAAGGTCAAGCTACATTAGCAAAGTTGGGAGGTAGCACTTAAAAAAAAACTCTGGGCCAGGCACAGTGGCTCACACCTGTAATCCCAGCACTTTGGGAAGGCCAAGACAGGCAGATTACCTGAGGTCAGGAGTTCAAGACCAGCCCTGGCCAACATTGTGAAACCTCATTTCTACTAAAAATAACAAAAAAAGTAGCTGGGCATGGTGCTACGCGCCTGTAGATCCAGCTACTGGGGAGGCTGAGGCACAAGAACTGCTTGAATCCAAGCAGCGGAGGTTGCAGTGAGCTGAGATCGCACCACTGCACTCCAGCCTGGGTGACAGAGTGAGACTCCCTCTCAATTAAAAAGAAAAAAAAAAAAGAAAGAAAAAACTCTGGAAAAGTTATATGGCTCTACCATGTACCATTTGGACACCTCTGGAGGAGAGGAACTTGTTCAATTTTAACAGTATAAACTTTATTGTTTAAGTAGCTAATATTTAGGCCAGGCACGGTGGCTTAAGCCTGTAATCCCAGCACTTCAGGAAGCTGAGCCGGTGGATCACCTAAGGTCAGGAGTTTGAGACCAGCCTGGCCAACATGGTGAAACCCCGTTTCTATCAAAAATACAAAAATTAGTCAGGCCTCGTGGCACACGCATGTGGTGCCAGCTACGTGGGAGAATCACTTGAACTGAGGAGGCAGAGGTTGCAGGGAGGCAAGGTTGTGCCACTGCACTCCAGCCTGGGCAACAGACTGTGACTCTGTCTCAAAGAAAAAAAAAAAGACTATCAACTAGGAAATATTTAGGTACAGCAGTACTAATAACACTGAGATGGACTAATTTACATAATCCCAAGACTTTGGTTCCATTTTTTTTTTTTTTCAGGGTGTTGCTCTGCATAATTGTAGCTCACTGTAGCCTCAAACTCCTGGGCTCAAGGGATCCTCCCACCTCAGCCTTCCAAGTAGCTGGGACTACAGGTATATGCCACCATGCCCAGCTAACTTTTTATTTATTTATTTTTTTGTAGAGACAGGGTCTCACTATGGTGCCCAGGCTGGTCTCCAACTCTTGGCCTCAAGTGAACCTCCCAAAGTGCTGGGATTACAGGTATAAGCCACTGTGCGCAGCTGCTTCCAAAGATTTTCTTGAGTGGCCAAAACCCCAGATAATCCACAAAAGAGCATGAAAAGTATTTTAAGGGACAATGGAAGGGGAGAAACTACTACCTAATATTCTCAGCAACTTTCCCTGCTCTACCTGACAAGCGAATGATATTGAGAGGTAACTAACTGAACACTCTTTTCTCTCTCCTTCTATCCAGTCACCCACTATCCTGCAAATACGCAGCAGCTTTGAAGGACTTAATCAATGACCTTAAAATCTATACCATGTCTACAGTTCCAGGAAGCATATAAGCAAACTACTGCTATAGAATTTGGATTTCCTTTAATGATAAAAATGCAAATGACTCACATTTGGTCATCCACTCCAACACAGCACATTCTAAAGAACAGAAGTTCCAATCCTCCTTGTGTGTCTTCACACACAAACAACAAATTATGGATTATATTACTACTACAGATTTCTGTTTCTCATTGAAGGCATATGAAGTTTTTAAAAAGAATAAAAAAATCAGAAAGGAAATGTTTCAAGTCTATTTTGAGGTAAAGCAATCAATTTACCATTTATTTTCTTCAGACTTACATATGAAAGCCCACACACATGCATACACACAAGATCCCCAAAATGTTGGTAACTGTTGAAGCTGCACAATGGATACCTAAGTTCATTATACTATTCTATTTTTGCATACATTTGAACATTTCCATAACATGCAGTTTTTTAAAATATGTATGTGTGTGTCTATAGATGTTTATACGTAAACTCTCAATAAACTGACATAGAAATATCCAATTGTTCAAAGTTTTCATGCTCCAAAACTAAATGAATATTTTTTTTTTTTTTTTTTTGAGACGGTCTCTCACTCTGCCACCCAGGCTGGAGTGCAGTGGCACAATCTCGGCTCACAGCAACCTCCACCTCCTGGGTTCAAGCAAGCGTGTCCAGCTAATTTTTTTGTATTTTTAGTAGAGATGGAGTTTCACCATGTTAGCCAGGCCAGTCTCGAACTCCTAACCTCAAGTGATGTGTCCACCTTGGCTTCCTGCAGCGCTGGGATTACAGGAGTTGCACGCCCAGCCAGAATTTCATCTAGCTACTTTTTATTCTACAAGTTGTACTGCAGGTGACCAGACCATTAGTGAAGGTCTAGTGAAAGAAATAATTAACTGCCCCAGAATAAAACAAGCCTAACCTTGAAAAGAGGCAAACGAAAAGGTGCTAAACAGTTATTACAATTACTGCACGTTTATATTTGGTCCTGTTATCCTCTAACACAGGTGGGTAGGTAGAAAAGGGGGAAGTATTTTAGGGCCAGATTTCCTTTTGATTTTTTAAGTTGATGGGCAAGAGAGACTGGAATAAAGAAATCTAAAAAGTCTCCATTATAAATTATAACCAAGAGAGGCACAATGGCGCATGCCAGTAGTGCCAGCTACTTAGGAGACAGAGTGGGGAGAATCACCTGAACCCAGGAATTCAAGACTAGCCTAGGCAACATAGTGAGACCTCATCTCTAAATAAATAAATAAGTTAATGAATTAAAGGTAGAATTGTATAATATATGAATTATACCTCATTTTAAAAACAATTTAAGCCATATACAGTGATGCATGCCTATAGTCACAGCTACTCAGAAGGCTGAGGCAGGAGAATAGCTTGAACCTAGGAGTTTGAGAACAACCTGGGCAACACACAGAGGCCTCATCCCCCTCCCACCCCCGCCCAAAAAAAGCATTCATAGCTCATCTTAGTGTAATCAGCAATTTCCAATGACTATGCTTTACTGCTAGATATGAATTTATAAAACACACAAAGATTATACTGTATCTGCTTCAATTCCTTTTTTCATATTGCCATTCAATTTTCACAAGATTACTTTAAATGTAATCCTAAATTCATCCCCAATTTAACTTTTGTTAGTCACATCTAAAAATAAAACTAGTCAAAATTAAAAATACTAACTTTACAGCAAATTAATCTTGCATCAGTACTACAAACAAAAATTTTTAAACTTATTGTAGCAAAACATAACTTTGACTGAATCAAAGACATTAATTCTCAAGTCAAAAAAAGGTCACAAGAACTTACTTAAAGTGGTAAAGGGAAACGCAGACTTAGGCACACATGCCAAGAAAAAAAAAAAAAATAGAGATAACTCCTCCGCTAGAACCTCCCCTCAATACTTTCACAGCAACAATTATTTCCTTAGCACAAAAGTGATGTGTTCACTTCCACAAAACCTGGATCATCTAAGTTTGCACAATTCCCTTCAATCTGAAAAATAGATGAAATTGTTTCATTTAGGTTAGTAGAATTTTGTGTCCCTATACATGAAAAAAGTCACCATCAGTGTGAGTAAAGCACATGGCTCCAGCTTCAAGGTCTTGTTCCCCAGCCCACTGAAAAGAGTATATGCTTATAAAATATTCGACTTACCAGGTTAAAGACAGTTTCTACAATGTCCCTATTGGATACTTCTCCAACTTCAACCAAACCGGTCAACACGGCAAATTTCATTCTGATGCCCCTGATGGGGAGCCCTGGTTTCAGAGACAATGCACCCCCTTCAGTAGGGGTTTCTTCTCTCCCTCCACCTCCCCCGTCATCACCTGTTGGTGGCGGGGAAGGGACACGATTGTCTTCGCTAGCCATTGCTAGCAAAAAGGACAATTCAGAGTCACCCTTGGACAGCAGTCGCTGCACTGGCAATGAGCACAACACACGCAATGCAAAACGAAAGGGTCTCTCCTCCAACTTGTGGAGAAACCCCAAAGCAGTTGATGTGGAAAGTCCTTGGCGTCGCCCTCCTCCTTTTGGAGAATATTTGTCCAATCTCTCTCCCCGAGGCTGACAACAACGCCAAACCCTATTGGAAGATTAAATATATGTTAAATAGGCTAGGTTTTGTTTTAGGGTTTTGAGGGGACAAGAGGGAAATAGTTATTGTCGGTCAAATAAGTTACTAAAGGCACCCCACAACTAGCCACCCGCTTCTCCCTGGCTCAAAGAGCTGGGTTCTGGGTGAAGGCAGGTCCAAGAGGCCCCGCACAGGCTCACTCCTCCCCCACTCTCGTGCAGGTTCTAGGCGCAGGGTAACCTCTCCTCACAGGTGCACCAGAAAGAGAAACTGTCGCGGAGAAAGGAGGGATCGGAGGAAAGAAGGGGGCCCACAAGCTATCACAGAGGTAGAAAGTTCCTCCTCACCCAGATACTCCGGACTCGTCCTCACCCCCCGCCCAGGAGCAGCGAGACAGAGGTGGCGGCGGAGATCCAGGGCAGGAAAAGGCGGGGGAAGGGGGCGGTGATTATTCTAAATGCTCGGCCCAGTGGGAGGAGTGAAGTACCTCTCTCAGGCACCTGAGATTCGACGGGAAGAGGCGGGGAGGTGTGTGTGGTGGCAGGAAGGGAGGGGAGCGGCCAGAGAAACCCGGCGGCGACCGCAGGGAGAGAAAGGAGGACAGAGAGGTCAGTGCACCTGGTCGCAGCCTCCAAGTTTCCCTAGTCCGCTCCCCGGGAGTCCGCGGCTGCACAGAACTCCATGGCTTCCTGGCCCGCCCCGCCCCTGCGCTCAGCCTTTGCAAAAGCAGCCGCTGCTGGCGCTACGGACGCCGCGGCTGAGGCTGCTGCGAGTGGTGAGGATGCTACTGCCACAGCTAGCCCCGCCACAGCTCGCGCGGCTTTCCTGTGCCCACTGAAGCTGCTC